CGTGCGAGGCAGCAGGATCTTAAAGGTCTTTTCCAACCTAAACGATTCTATGATTCTAGGACACCATCTTTGTCTCTGCTTCCCCAAAAGGGCCACGGGAGCTCTCCGGCCATGACCTCCCTGCCATGTCTGGAGCGGCAGTGGCTGTGGGGAGCCCTTGGGCCCCATTGCCCCTTCCGGCCCAGCACCTGTGCGCTGTCTTTGGCAGATACAGCTTCAGCACCTGTCCACAGAGGAACCTGCAGGGAGCATGGCAGCCCTGCCTGTGAACTCACCTTTGATGGTATTTTACTGATAACCATAACACGGCAGCCTACCAGGTCGCGGTCTGGGCAGGAGCCAGCGGAGAGGGAGAGGAAGCGCCATGAAACAAACCCTCGAGCACTGCGGTCCAAGCCCAGGAGGGCTGCCTTCAGGCAGCGGGCTCTGCCGGCAGCTGCCCTGTGCCCCACCACAGCTGGTGCCCGCTCGGCCACAGCCCTTGCCCGGCTGATGGCACCACAGCCATCGTTCTCTCAGCCCGTCCAGGCTGACAGGCTGCAGGGCGGATTTGCAGTGAGCAGGGAGGGCAGGGACACGCTGCAGCCCCCTCCGCCTCTGGAGTGGTGGTGGCAGCAGTATCCAGCCTCACAAACCCACCCTGGCCTCCCTGGGGCAATGATGTCCCATTCAGACAAAAACAGCCAGCTAGGGGAGAGGAAATATTTGCCCACCATCACCAGGAGGCAGAAACCCAGCACTGGTCCTCCAGCCTCGCCTCACCAAGCCCCACAACATGGCTGCTCAGCCTTGCCCCAGCAGACTGCCAGGCCCCACTGTTTCCCCAGTGACCCTCAGACCACGGCAGGGTATCTAAGTGTGCGCGAGGTGAAATCTCCAGCCTGCGTTAACCGGCTTTGCCTTCTCTCCCTGGTGATACTCTGTCATGGCTGGCGCTGACTGACAGTGCTAGCGGCCCCAGGTGCAGCAGGTCCTGTCACTGGACCTCAGCTGGGGGTCATACAGCTTTACATGTTTACACAGGGAACTTTAGAAGAAATGTAAGTTAGAGAGAAAAAGGAACAGAACCTCACATTTTCATTTCAGTGCCAATACCAGTATCTTCAGGATTTTCTGATGGAAGGCGTAGCATTTCTTGTACCTGCTGCTACAACTGATCCCTTGCAGCAGGACACAAGCGGCTCTTCTCTGACGTTGTAGACCCTGCCCAGGATGGAACAATGAGATACAGGAGATGCAGAAAATATGAACTGACCTTCTTAGTCTGTAAAATGGGGACAATAATATTAATTCTTCTACTTTGCAGAGGTATTGGGAAGAATCATTCACTAGTATTAGCTTAATGTATTGTAATGCCATACACAACAGATGTCCCAGATGTTACTTGGAGATTTCCCATCCAAACAAGCCCTTTCTGTCCCCCATTTTTCTCTGGGAAAAATAAAAGAAGAAGAAGAAAAAGGAAGCCCAATAAGCCATTATTTAGACCTGGGAATAATGAGTGTTTATCTGGATTTTGTGACACAAATTATGTAATGAAGCAGAGAAAAGGCTTTTGAACAAATATGTTAATGAGATGGCAGCTAAGGGAGAGGTTACAGAGTTGCCAATTCCGAATCAAATTTTTTAATGTGATTTTCTGGTTTTTTTTTCTTTTGTAGTCATTAGCCTGCACAGCATTTGAATGTGCTTTAGGGCTTCATGAAAATTATATGGGAAATACCAATTCTAGGTCAAGAAAGCCTGATCAGCAACACACACTGGCTGAGAAAACCCCACTGACTCAAAATTCATAATGAGGGCTTTTATGTAGAAAGTTGTTGGGCACAGGGATTGTACTGAAAGGACTGTTCGTTCAGTGTCTCAAAAGCTTTTCTTGGAAAAATATCAGATGCTCCACTGGGAACTTAGTTGAAAGATACTCCTAAAGCAACACAGTGGACTGGCAGTGGCTGGAAAGTACTGATTGGAGGGAAAACATAAAGTCATGAAACAGTGATTTTCTCTGAATGCCGGTAATAACTCTTTCCATTTAAATTCTGTGTAAAACTTCCAGCACGTAACATTACTGTACAAGACCTCTTCTAGGCATCTTTTTAAGTCAAGCATCACACAGAGGTAAGTTCTGAGCTGTTTGGTTTTTAAATGTGATTTTCCAAAGCCTGGGTAGAAGACGCTTCTTTTTCTGTTAAGTCCTAGAATGTCTCAGGGTCAGTTGTTTTCATTTGTGTTTCTCAGTGTGAAGTATGATAGGTCTTATAGTCCTTGTTTAATATAATTTTGTTAAAACTTTTGCACCTCTGGGTGTTGCATGGAGCCTGCGACATGAAAGAACCTTAAAAAAAATGTGAGGAGAGTTTTTGTCTTGAGAGGGAATAGCAGTTATCTAGGTCAAATGGACTGCTTTTAAACAGGCAAACCGTACTTGTGTGCTTGGACAGCATTTGAATTAGAGGTGGAAAATATGTGTATCTGTAATTAAATAAATCAACTGCTACCTGTAAAGCTTCCTTGCCACAGACCATTCCTATCCAGCAATAACAGGAGTAATGGGGATGATTGGTTTGTAGTGATGTATCAGAAAGGCAGCTTCTTGGGAATGACCTAAACTATACTAAAATCTTTATTTTCCGGTTTTTCCACCTGGACTGATGACCCTGGAACTCCTACCTTCCAAGAGGACTTGATTTCTACTCCCTTTCTTCTAACCCAAACAATGCAGATCAGCCTTTGTTAACTAGTCTTCAGCAGTGTCCCACTTCTGAGTGAAACTCTTTACAGTGGCTCACATCATTGAATCTGGTATCTGAAGTACAAAAGGGAAGATTGCAAGACTCTGTGTGTGGTTTGACAGTGATGTCAAGCTCATCTATGGATTTACTCTCTTGAAAGGTGCAGCTGTTCCTGTCCCAGCTGTTAACTGTTCCCAGCCGTAAGTGGCCCAGTCTCTTGAGCTGGCTCTGGTGCTCACTGAACACTTCATTGAACCTATTCAGCTCACTAACTCAGCAGAAAAATGTTCTGCTTTCTTTGTCAAGTTAAATTCCAGCGAGCCCCAGAGCCACCCGCTGAGTAGCAGCACGCAGGCAAGGGCAGGTCAGTGGCAGTGAGCCATGAGGTGGGCTTGGCTCTGTTAGTGCATCATACCCTTGGCTCTCAGCATGCTTTAAAGTGCCGGTGTTTATTAGGGTAGAACAGCAGCAAATGGGAGCAGTGGTGTCTAGTAACCAGGGAAAGGGATTCAGGTACAAGAGACCTGATTCAGCTCCTGGTTCCACTTCATGTCACCACCCATGCCTAAGTCTCTTTGTAACACACAGATTTGAGTTCCTTTGTAAACTGATTTGAAACTTAACTACCAAGAAGAACAAGAGCAGCATATTATTCAATGTTAGGGTATCAAAATTTAGCCCAAATTTTAGCTCAAATTTAGCCCAGCTGCTACAATCTCCTGCTTCTAAATGGTGTCTGCAACCAAAAGCTAATTTTACCTACTGTCTTTAAAGCAGTAGTTAAAGACCATGAAACCACACATCTCACATACATATTTGTAAATACTGCTCTGGTCTCTGCTATGTTCAGAGCAGTACTGACTAGAGGAAAAGATTTTTTTTTTTTCTTGAAGGCCTGCAGTTAGTGCTGAATTAGCAGGAACTGAATTTCAGGCTGTGGGAGGTTTTTGTTTGAATGCTCTCTTTGAACCATCTAAAACTCCTCCTGCTGGAGGTTTTGCAAGCACGATGGGCTCTCTGCAGCTTCCTTTTGCCCAGCTGTCAGACTAGTTCTGTAAAGCAAGCAGCCAAAGCTTTGTCTGCCTTCTCCTTGGCACAGTGAAGAGGAAGCTCATGGGCAAATTATGTGAAAGAGCTGCCATTCCTGTACCACTCTCGTATCCAGCCAGTGCCAAATGTATCTGAGTTGTAAGCACAGACTGAGGGAGACAGGGAACAGCTGGAAGACTTGCCAAATCGAACATGCTCCTCTGTGCTTCTCTCTGTTGGTGCGTGCTGATCCCTTAGAGAGCGGTGCCCAGCCTTGGCCTGCATTGTAAACTGCTCTCTTCCCTCATTTCATCCAGTCATGCTCTCCCCTTCCTGCACCTTGACTATGCATTGCACAGCTTTTCCACCTCCTTATCTGAATGTAGGCATCTGCTCTCTCGTCCTCACTCAGTATTCTTCTTCCTGCCCATCTTGTTGCTGTTTGTGATGATACGTGAATACGTGGTTCTAACACCTGGATTCAGTCGACTTCTCGGCCTCCTGGTTCTTACCGTAGAGCATGAATTGACACATGTAAACCTCG